TATATATCCTTTTGAAATATTTTGTTTTCATTTTATTTGCTGCTGCATTCTTAGTTTTTTTCTTTTTAACCTGGACAAATAAAGGTTTACTACTAGTAGTAATGTGCATACATTTTGACCATCTTTTTTGATTTGTTTAGTTAAAAAGTAAGCAGATATGTAATGAAATCAATGCATTTACATGATGCACGTTACATATGCTTGAACAGCATCAATGAAAACACTTTAGAACAACTTGCAAGGATTTCAAGAATCTGGAAAAATGTGTTTGAGTGAATAGAATCAAGGAGAAGGACACAGGAATGCAATACATATTTTCTCATACAGTTCAATAATTTATTGACTCTGCTAAGACAGGATAAATCCCCACCACCAAAGCTCATTCAAGGTTTCTGAGAAGACCCTTGACACAGAGTTTGCCGTGAAATTGGAAAAGTTCAAGTCTGTCTCTCTCAGTGATTCTGAATTATTGAACCAGCCCAAATCTGTCTCCTCTTTTTCGTCTTCTCCTTTATTCAGCTTTCACCCAGCTTCAGGTCGCAGTGCTGTCACTACAGACATTGCAGTTCAATGAGGACAGAGATGCACTGCTAATTGGACATCAGAAATGAAGTCTCTTAGATGAAGTGTGTTTCTGTTAAGGATTTTATTTGATGTATTTTTTGGTTACAGGACAGTAAAGATGTGAGGAACTATTGGACATGTCAACATCGATGTAGATTCACATCTCATTTGTGTCAGAAAGATTGTCCAGTGCGATGATCAATTTGTGTGCTGTGCTTTTCATTGTTCACCACTGACTGAGCGAGAGTGAATGTGATTGAGCAAGTAAACACTTGATTAACGTAGTAATTGGCTATTGAACCTCTCTTCTAGCTTCACTTATCTAAACATTCTGTCGTAGCAAATTCTCCCATAATAAATGACTGTAGGATCTGAGCACTGCCCCACAGAGAAGCACTGACAGCCCAGCTGTGCTGAGATTTGACAACAGGCCTCTTGTGTTTCCACTCCGCAGTTTGACATGCAACAGATGTCCCTGGAGGAGCTCAAACACGTCCTGTTCTACGCCTTCAGAGACCATCTCACCATGAAGGACATCGAGAATATTATCGTCACCGAGGAAGAGAGCTTGAAGGAGAACTCAGGAAACTGCCAGACCGAATTTCAGGGAGGTAAATAGCAAAGTGAACAATTTCATGTTAATTGACGGATCACGCAACAATTTGTTAAACTCGCGCTGATTCAAGTTTACAGATACTGGAAACTTTGCAAAGCTCTGATGAGGTGATGCTTAAAGTACTGCCAGTAACTCGAGAATTCAGTTCTGTATGAATACTACTGAAAATATTTTCATATGATCACTTTTTCAGAAGCCTAGAAGTATTTTTCTACACAGGCATTTCAAAAATTCTTCAATAAAGAGTTTTAAGCCTTAAACCAAACCAACTAGCTCTGAGTTAAATCACAGCTTACAAACTTCTTTATCAAATACTTTTTTGATTCAAATCAAGGTACAAGAATGTGTATATAATGTATTTTATGAGATAATGAAATACTCCTCCCATGAAACATTAGAAATTATGTAATTGAATCAAAAACGATGATATATAAAATTGACTCATATATAAAATTATTGACTCATTGTCATTTATAATAATTAAGTACAATATCACATATATTTAAATTTAAACATAAAAATAGATATATTTACATTTTATTACAAAGAATATAATTATACATAAATAAGTAGCAAGAGTATAGTTGATAATGCCATTTGCAATGCATTCTCGCTCAACAGCGACTTCCTTGATTGGTGGATCTAATAAGGAACACGTTTTTTGTCGATTATGCTAAAATCACAGACTTTTAGCTTCTACAGAAGCATGTATCATGGTGCAATATAAACTTTTTAACTTATAATAATTTATTAAAAAACACAATATATTAAATTAATTAAATTAAAACAATAATTATTAAAAATCAAATTAAATATATTTAAATTTGATTGCAAAATGCTTAATTATAGATGAATAAGTAGTAAGAATGTAGTCAGTATGTCACTCACAATGCTTTATGGAAGTGATAGCGACTTCTCTGATTGGTCGATCTAATGGATGCTTTTTATATTAAGCTGAAATCGCATTGACTGTTGGCTTCTACAGAGCCATGTATTATATCTATAATTGACTTGTAGACATTTATTGTAATTATACAAATTAAATTAAATCTATTTAAATTTATTTAGAAAAATGTTTAATTACAAATAAATAAATAATTGGTGTAGTGGGAGTGAGAGGGTGTTTTCATTTCCATGGTAACATCAACTCCTCTGATTGGTTCATCCAATGAAAAGTTAGCTTTTTTAAATGAAGCTGAAATCACATTGACTTTTGGCTTCTAAAGAACCATATATCATAGCATATATCATTGCTTAACAATATCAGCGCTCATAGAAGGTCTTGAAAGGTTTATATGATATCATAAAAAATTCATTTCTTTATGGATTTTTACTTCTGGAGCCCCGACTATTATGCTCTATAGCCTGATGTGTTTGCCCAGAAACTGGCCATTTAATAAGATGAGAGTTCTGTGCTCTCAGTGCATTATAGGTTTTTTTGGAATGAAAAGCATCTGATAAATGTAATATTTTGCTTACTTCCATCATTGGTTACTTTTGAATTTCACCCGCTTTTGAAGTATTATTGAACCAGATGTTTTCTTCAGCCAACAGAAGTAAAAGGAATGAATGGAATTCTGAAACAGGGAAAATATCGTAAAGACTTTTATCCAATTATGTTTCAGCAGTTCAATATTTAATCTCAATATGCAGCACAGAATAACAACACAAACTGAATGGATGTCGGCCCGAGAAAAAAGTGAATAAAAAAGAACAATTTCATGCCTCAAAATCCAATTAGTCTGTCACAATGTTTTAAAATATATGCTTTATTGGCCCACACTGTGCCCTTAAACAGTTTCCCCTGAATATTTATTTCTGTGTGTGTGTGTGTGTGTGTGCAATCATGCGTGTGAGGCAGCTCAGCAGAGCCACACGTTTTGTTTCATTATTGTTTATTTTCAAAGCCTCATTATGCACAGAGATCAGCAGCGCTGATCATTGTTTGGATGGCTTATGCTCATGGTGTGCTGTAATCTCTTCTCATTGATGCTCTTCTGGGTGCCTTTCACATATGCTCTGTTCTACTCCATCAGTGCATTCGAAAAAGAAGAATCGTCAGACGTGTGTCCGCAAGAGCCTCATCTGCGCTTTTGCAATGGCCTTCATCATCAGCGTCATGCTTATCGCAGCCAATCAGATGTTACGGAATGGCATGGAGTAGCCCCGCCCACTGTGAACCCTGCTTGATCTGACCTCTCTTAAGAAACATGCATCAAAAACTCCACTTTCTTTTAGTTCGAAGAGCGTGGGGAGCCCACAGAGCAGAGGATGTGAATCCCTAGAGCGAGTTTTGTTTTTTATATTTATTATGGCGATTGTGATTGTGACAGACTCTGAAACGGCAGTGAGGGATGTTCTCTACCATCAGCTTGACAGGGACATGCAAGGGCTCCTCACTGGATACCATTTAATGCAATAACATCCTGTGTCCCTCCGCGCTGTGTGTTTTTCTCATTCCCTGTCTTTGAAATGTGACGACTTTGTACTTTATCTCACTCCAAGTCATGTCAGATGGGAACGATGAGGAGTGATTGGCAGCCTGTCCAATGGAGCCGCTGCCGGATGTCTGGCATCAAGAGCGTGTGCATGTTCATCTCAAATGCACTGTAAGTTTTGTTCACAGCATTGCATTGTTGAAGCTTATTTATGGAGTTTATTGAAGATATTGTTTAATGTTGAAGGGACTGTGGGTATTTTTGGAATAGCATACTACCATACTATTACTTTTACAGTATGCAGTTTACTGTGTACAGTATGCAAAGAAAATCACAAATGAACAAAATATACAGGATACATCAGGGTCTGCATGGAACTGTATCCCCCAGTGCATATTGACCTTTTGAGTGTGATCAACTAGAAACTATTTCAGCTGATTTTTTTTCTCCTCCTTTGATTGGACCATCAATACTAAAGGGATTTTACATTGGATTTAAAAAAATGCAAAATAACCATATTTTTGGGCAAATTTATTTATATTGCATACATGCTTTACATTAGCATAATTGAGAGAGAGGGAGAGAGAGAAACTAAAAAGTAAAATCATTTTAAAATGATTTAAGAACATAATTTTGATCCAGGAAAGAAAAAAAAACATAAAAGTAATTAAAGTTTCATTTAAAATGATAATTGGCAGCTGCTGAATTAAACATGCAATGTGATCAAATTAAATAAAAACAACATCAAATATTAGTCTAAAACATTTATCATTGCATGCTTTTTTATTATTCAACATTCAACAGTTTGGGTTCAGTAAGAGTTTGGGGGAGCTGCATTTAGTTGATCAATAGTGACAATTATGACATTTATAATGTTATAAATTATATTCTGATCTATACAGAGTCCTGCATGACATGTGGGAATATATGTGACACTGGACCACAAAACCAGTCATAAGGGTCAATTTCCACGAATTAAGAATTTGTTGCCTGGTTTTAGTCATTTGTGGCCACGTTGTACTAATTCACTGCCTTGGTTTGATAATCAAAATTAGGAAATTAATTAATACAGCGTGGCCATTATTTACTAAAACAAGGGAACAAAATAATAAGGCCATCTGGCCACGATTTACCTAAAATGAGAGAATGAAGGAAATACATTTTATTAAAATGAGGCAACAAATTCTTCATTCGTGGACATGGTAAATATACAGTATTTATGTCCGCATATCATGTGCAGAGCAACATAAATCCATTTCAAATAAATTCTGTTCTTTTGAACTGCCGTCATCAAAGAATCTTGAAAAAAATTGCATCCCTCTTTCAACAAACATATCAAATAGCCCAACTGTTTTCTGATTGATAATAATAAGAAATGTTTCTTGAGCAGCAAATCAGCATATTAGAATGGTTTCTGAAGAATCTTGTGTCACTGAAGACTGGAGTAATGATGCTGAAGATTCATGAATAAATTATGTTATAAAACAGTTATTTTTAATTGTAATAATATTTCACAATATCACTGTATTTTTGTCAAATAAATGCAGCCTTGGTGAGCGTAAGCATCTTCTTTCAACTTTAACAATCTTACTGACCCCAAACTACTCCCCAGTGTGAGCAGAAGCAGACTGATTTCTCATTGTTTGCTATATAATTTGAGTTACAAATGCATTGTGCTTTCCATATTCTGCAAAGCAAGTGGGATTAAATTAAATTCCACACAACTCCATTTTGCGATACACCTTGTGCATTATGGGTAAACAGGATCATTTTTGTAATGAAAATTAGAAGTCCGTTTCAATCGTGCCATTACCCAATCTCTCATTTTGTGTATCTAAACAAAAGAAGAGAGTATAATACTCTCTTTGATTTAAAATATACTATCAAGGTCTTCTAAATGTCTGCATATATTGTCTGGTTAAAATATATGACACTGAACTTCTGCGGAAGTGTCTATGCTACATAGTTGGACTTTTTGGTCCATTTGGAGTTTTTATTCACTCTCAGGCTCAAAGAGTCAGTGAATGCAACAAATTGCTCTGAATCAACCAGAAGTAAACTGGTCAGTCTCTAAAATTGCACTTTTTCTTTTACAGTTACAGTCTGTGTGTAATATAAATATTTGTCTACCTGTTTGTCTATATATTTATAATGTGTGTGCACATCAATCCCCTTCCCTGTGTTCCTTATTATTGTGTATACTTACAGCCGTTTGTCACGATCCCTTGGATATAGCATGTGTATTTATGCATATAGTGCCACACAAAAGAGTTGTCTTTGGATTGTCTGTTTGACTGTGTCTTGTTTGCATGTTCAGAGCACTAATGCAGTGCTTTTCCAAGGTCTGCACTGCTCGCAGGCATTTGCTGAAAGCATCAGTCTGAATGTCTGAACTGCCATTGTTTTCTTCCTGTGAGCAAATCTTATATGAAACAGTACCAGCATTCTGTGCCAAAATACACCGCAAAGGAAAAGCGGATTATTGGGAAGCGTTTACTGGACAAAGTTCCTATCAGTTTTCCAGAATGTCACAGAATGGCTTGATTGAGGACTGGTGCGTTTTATTCCATCAGTCTGTGCTTTCTTTGGATCGAGGATACTTCCAAATCAATGGCCCCATCTAGTGGGCTACTCTGAATATTTGATGTAAAAATTGTGACATGACAAGAGGTAATACTTTTAACATTGTGAAGTGACATTAGTAAAGAAGAAATATTACTTAAAGAAAGAAACAAAGGAACCTTTACCAAAAAGAAGTTGGAAACGGGAGTGGAATACAGTGTAAATTCCATATATATCCATTTAAAGTGTTGCACCTTGTTATTTTAATAATATAAGCCTATTTGTTCACTATTTCTTTCATTTATCACAAAGGCAGATTAGTGGACTATAAAGTTAAAAAATGTCTTGCATTATTTTTACTAGCCATTATTCTATGTATCCCCCTGCTTGTTGCCATCTTGTTAGAATCTGCATTCTCCTAAAATTACACTCTAGTGTATGGGCATTTTGGATATATAAATTGGTAAAGGTTTTATTGTATTTTATATTTTGTTGATTAATAATATTTATGTTTTCTATTTTTATGTTTTTTAATCTTGCAAAGGTTGATGGAATTTTTAATTTAATTTAATATCAATCCAGATCCTAATTTCTTCTGAATTTGAAGCATGCCAAATAAAATTTTATATGTATGTATTTTTATGGAGTATATCAAGAGAAGGATTATTAATATTCAAAACAGTATACATATTGCATGCAGGATGTGGGTTGACAGATTTTAGCAATATGGTTTCTAAACAAAAATGTATCATTACACGTAAAGATTATGAAGAAATAAAATAAAGTTATTTATTGAACATGACAATATATGTCTTTGCATCCAATTACTGATATAATGATAATTTATGTAATAATAATTTTTGTTATTATTGTTGCCTAGGCCAGTAGGGGGAAGCATTAGATTTTCTGCCTATAAGACTAAAATTGTTTACATACTGTCAGTTTTTGAGCCACTTCATAAGCATGTCAACACCAGTGAACCCAGTGTTAGCTGTACAAATAACAAATAATCTATTGATTTTCTGATAAAAGATAAAAAACAGCACCATTAATGAATAAACCAGTCTTGACCTCTTTAATTTAAAGGATCTACAAACTAGCATGTTTACACAAACCATCTGTCTGAGGTAATAAACTCTAAAGGCTGTTTAATACTTCAAAATCTGTACTAATGATTCTCAGTTGGTACTGTGTAGGTATTGTATTACAAGTCAAATGGTATACAGCTGTGACCCCAACAATGTAAACCGAAAAGAAGTTTACAGGTCACTTCAAATTTTACAGCATCTACAGTATATGTGATCACGGTAAATGTGTAAAAAGGCACTTGATGTCATTTCAACTATACATTTAGAGATGTAAATTTCAAAATTATGTTACATGTAATATTCAGGTGTGCAAGTATGATACTGATAGGGAGTATAGGAGCTTAGAAGTTAAACTCACAGATTCCTTTAGAAAAATAGCCATCATTACATAGCACCACATAACTGCAAGTCCCTCGATGAGATTAATGTTAATACTGCTGCAACATAAAATAGCATTTCTGTTGTAGTATTTCCAATCTGAGGTCAGCATCAAGCAATTCAAGTGAATTCCTGCTTGTTCAGTGTGCAATCAATCTATATTTGCCAGGTTTTAGGTTTAAAAGTATTTAATTATTTTTTTTATTTTTTTTGAGAACAGTTGTGGGCTAATTTTATGACTTAAAGATTTGATGATGTTCTTTTTTAATTAAATATTACTTGTGCAAGATGCAAATAGATGGCCATGATGTTTCTATATTAATGGCCATTGGATATTCTCAAAGGTGTGCAAAAAACTTTCATGCTGCAAGTTAAAACTTGTGTTAAAACACTGAACTTTGCATTATAATTATGAAATCTGTAAGATTGTGGAATTAACTTTAAAAATTGCTAAAAAAAAAAAATGCTAAAAGTGTTTTTTTCCTGCATTCCAAAAATCTAACCCTTTTTTTTTATTATTTCCGTTTGTCTTATTATACACTACCTTTTAAAGTTTGGGGTCAGTACAAATTTTCAAGTTATTGAAAGAATTATCTTATGCTCACCAAGGTTGCATTTATTTTATCTTGTTCTTCAATCTTGTGAGCAGCCACTACTCCAGTCTTCAGTGTCACATGATCTTTCAGAAATCATTCTAATATGCTGATTTGGTGCTCAAGAAACATTTCTTATTAATATCAATGTTAGTAACAGTTGTAATGCTTAATATTTTTGTCGAAACCTTAATAATCCTTATTGACCCCAAACTTCTGAACAGTAGTGAATGTTGTGCAAAATAAAAGCATATGCTTAAAATGACCATGAGGCACAGTTTGATTATGAAACTGTTTTTCATAACAGCTCAAGGCTCCTCTTCTGGACCAGTACGTAAAGAAAAAAAAAACAATAGAAATCTATAAAATGAAGAGTCCAGCAGATTCAGCTTGTATGAAGCATTTCATTAAAACTCAGTATGTAATACACGGCTGAAATCGCTGGATCCAGTCTCACTGGGTTTCATGAAGACGCCCTCCATTGTTTTCCAGTAGCTGTGTGAGCTGCTGACCATCATGCCATGCACTTCTCTCTGGCCGTGGATGGGTCTGCCGTACTGTTCCCCCGTCACAGACAGCAGAGCCTCAGTGGCCGTGTGGCGGAACCGAACGGACTCATCCCGCTGCCACACAGAGCCTGCACACAGAACGGTCCACTCGTCCAGATGGTCACCCTCGCCGTTCTCACCAAAGGCACTGACCTCCTAAATGGGAAAAGTTTTTGAGTAAAATTCATACAGTGTGTGTTTAAAAAGATGAAATATTAAAACCTGATTTGAAGAAAGAGGAGAGGTAAAGTAGTGGCTGTGTAGATTGCGGCCTGTGTTCACATGGGTTAATCGGATGTTCTGTCCACACTGTACCAGAGTCCCTCAATGACATGCAGCATCACTGGTGCCTCGCACACTCCAGTAACTGTTACTGTCCTCCGCTGCGGTCACACCGGTCACTGACTGCTGACCACTACCTGGAATTAACATTAATAGATCATAGAGAGATGCTGCTGCTGCTTCTCCTCCTTTTTTTAGAAAAAAAAATCAATACTTTTATTCAACAAGCATGCATTAATTTGATCAAAAGTACAAAATAAAGACATTAATCATGTTACAAAAGATTTCTATTTCAAATAAATGCTGTTATTTCAAACTTTCTATTCATCAAAGAATCCTGAAAAAAAAAATGGTTTACACAAAATATTAAGCAGCACAACTGTTTTTTTAACTTTGATAAGAAATGTTTCTTAAGCAGCAAATCAGCATATTAGAATGATTTCTGAAGGATCATGTGACACTGAAGACTGGAGTAATGATGCTGAAAATACAGCTTTGCCATCAAAGCAATACATCACAATTTAAAATATATCAAATTAGAAAACTGATTTTAAATTGTAAAAATATTTCACAACACTGTTTATACTGTATTTTTGAACGAAGAACTGCTGCCTTTAAAAAAACAAATCTTACCGACCCCAAACAGTGTATGCTTTTAACCCTATAGAACATTTACTAACTAATAATATCATGTTTATTTAATGGATTTTTAAATTAAATTGTTGTTAATTATATTTTATAACACCTCGAATGTTTATATTACTGCCAGCCTTTATGAATGAGAGTCACTCACCAGATCCATAGCGCACATCGTGAGAGTGTAATCTGACGTTATGTTTCACATTGACCAGCTTCACCACCGACCCGCACGTTACTAAATTAATTTCACTGCCGGAGGACAATGTAAACATACATGACAATAATACTGTTATAGGGAACTGGACCCGCAAAAATCCCAAACTGTCCATGTCTTGCTAAACCCAATGGAAAAACTAAACATTAAAAACCCTACATGACGTCACATTGAACGCATGAAGCAATAACATATAGAGCGCCGTCTTCAGGCTCGGAGATACAACATTGTCGGGTATGGAGAACGAAACCTGCAAAAACAATAAATAAATAAATACACAAATAAATTAATTAATATGCAAATAAATAAATAAATGGTGTATAAATACACAAATTCTTGTTTAAATACATATAGAAATAATTCAACATGTGATTAAAGTAGGCAAATAAATAAAATAAATTGGTGGGCAAATGGAAAATGTTTAAGGAAATGCTATAGACTGTATGGTAAAAACGATATTTAGGTTGTTTATATTTCTTGTAAAATCTTATTTTAAAATGGTTGAAGTGCTAGTTTAACTTAGTTAGTTTACTTATTTTGCACCAGGAAAGTTTACTATAATTTGCCCCCTGAAAGATATGTAACATTTTACAATAAGGTTCAAATGAACATTAGTTAACTACATTAGCTAACCTGAACTAACAATGACAAATAATTATACCCTATTTCTTAATCTTAGTTCATGTTAATTTTAACATTTACGAATGCATTATTTATTAAATATCAGCAAATGGATTCATCCTGACCGGAAGTTAACTATGTGTATACCGGAACCAGAATCCCGACAGTAACTCTCAGCCATTTTTTGTTGTCATTATCAAGCTTCTTCAAAAGTGACGCTTCGTTCTTCATCTCAGTGCATATTTTCAAGTCTTTAGTCGAGCCTCCTCGCTAGGAAAAGTAAGTGCGCGTTCGTGTTCGATGTTTAATTTCAGTCAAGTATTTTTAAAAGAGTCAGAAACCCCTTGGGTTGTTTTTCTTAGCGCACAGGCTAGCTTTTAGCATGAGGGCCTTGAGTTCTCACAGTGCCACGGACAGAGTCGTTACGTAATTATTTAGCAAACAAAACAGTTTTGTTACTGTTTACGTTTATTCATCGCTAGCATTCTGGGTATTGCTTAGTAGTTATAATCTTCGTATTTACGCGTCCTAAATGCCTTGGCAAAGCTGAAATCTATCTAAGCGCATGGATCTCAAGTTCATCTTGATGTGTGTTTTGGTATCTAAAAAGACCTGGACTTACACAATTAGTATTCTGATGTTATATCTTAACATGTAAACATCTAACATGTAAACATATAAATCAAATTAGACAGACAAAGTGCTGTTTTCAATATCTAGTTCAATAACAATCAAGTTAAGCCACCAGTGAAGCTGATCTTTGTCAGTCTTTTGTTTACTGCAAGACATGTGTCAGATGCATGACCTGTTTTTGTTTTGATTACTGAACTGAATTTTACTGATTATGACAAGGAAATTGTAATATTGCCAATGTCAATGCAACATTTCACTCTTTAATTACTATGCATACTGCAAACCCTTTGAATGTCATACTATAGTCACAGCCATACTGTTAAAAAGAAATGCTGTTTGAATTTTCACACAGGCCTTGCAAACATGTCTGACTTCATCGAGAGCGAGGCTGAGGAGTCAGAGGAGGAGTTCGAGGAGAAAGACCTGAAGCCCAAGAAGACACAGAAATTTATGCAAGATGATGGTGAGATGTTACCTACTTGAAGCCACATCCAGTGGAAGGCGTGAATATGATCAGAAATCATGTTTTAGAGTGCTACTGTTTAACTTTAATAATTCTTTTAACAGTTTTATCAGTTCTGTTGTTATTGGCACATTGTATCATTCCTTGTGTGCTGTGTTGTTTATATCTCCAGAAGAAGAGGAAGAAGAGAATACTGAAGATCAGGATGAGCATGGAAACCTGAGAGGACTCATTGATGATGGCGATGTGGAAGAGGAAGAAGCACAAAGTGGGGGAGAGGATAGTGACTCTGGTGAAGAGGTCCGTCATCGCCGCAGGAAACGAAGTAGGTTACTCTGAATTTAAAGCCATATTAGTAAATCTTTCTGTGTTCTGGTGTTTTGACAGTTCTCTAGTGCATAATGTAGTTCTCGATAGGAATAGGGGAAATCAAATATTTACAATATTGTTATTTTGCTGGAGATAACAAAATAAAGGAATAGTTCACCTAAAAATGAAAATTTGTTGAAAACTCTCAGACCATCCAAGATATAGATAGAGAGTTTTTCTTCATTGGAGCAGGTTTGGAGAAATTTAGCATTACATCACTTGCTCACCAATAAATGCTGTCAAAATTTGAGTTCAAACAGCTGATAAATCATGACAATAATCCACATGACTCAAGTCCATCAATTAACGTCTTATGAAGTGAAAATCTGTGTTTATAAGATGAAAAATCCACAATTTTAACTTTAAACCGTTACTTCTGGCCAAAATCTGACTCCATAAAAAAGTGAAAAAGTCCATTTCCTGTTGTCCTCTTAAATGAAAATCCACCAATATATGTGTTTGGAACCGTTTTGGACTGTTTTTGCTTGTAAACAGTGCTTAAAGGTGACATATCATGAAAATCGGACTTTTCCAGGTTTTAAGTGCTATAATCAGGTCCCTGGTGCATCTACCAACCAAGGAAACGTGAAAAAGTTTAACCCAGTAACTTTGTTTTGGTAAGCCTTTTTCTGTAAGCGTCTGAAAAAACGAGCGCGAAGGGATCTCATTATAATATTACCGCCCCTTAATCTGTAAGTTTCCACCCACGGCGCCGTCATTGTGATTTCGCAAGCGACAGCGGTGTACCAGTTCTAATGCCATGGCGAAGGTTTGAGCAAAACATGCTAACTGTTCTGTCTTTGGCTGCACAGACGAGCACAGAACACTATTTAGTGTATTTATAGATTTATTTACTGTATATTGCTGCTGTCACACAGATCTAAAATAAACATGCGATTTATTTCCCAGCTGTTTACCTTCACAAACATAACTGACTGTTTTTGTAACTCATGTGTGTTTTTAACGTAAACTTGTGTGTGAATGAGAACTTAGTTTAGTACTCACATGCTGTGACAGCCGCTTTCTGTACATGTGCACTCAGAAAACCGTATATCAGAAGTTTAAACTAATATGGTTTAAAATGCATGATTTCAGCGTGATAAACATGATAATCATAACCAAAACAGATGTTTTTTAGCAGGTACGAGCTGTAATGGCGCGGCTCTATTCTGGAAAAGGGGGCGTGGAGCAGCAGCTCATTTGCATTTAAAAAGACAGGCACGAAAACAGCGTGTTTCAGCTTCCACTCAAAATAGGCATTTTTAAAATGATATAATAAATGATCTGTGGAGTATTTTGAGCTGAAACTTCACAGACACATTCTGGGGACACCAGAGACTTATATTACATATTGTAAAAATAACACATTGCATAATATGTCTCCTTTAATTTGTGCATATTTCTCTCCTGATTCCTTTTTTCCAGATGCTTTTTTTTTTTCACTGGAGAAAGTAATATGAATAGAGAATTCATATTTTAGCCAAAAGAAATTGTTTGAAGTTAAAAACGCCTTTTTTACTACTAACATGCAGCTTTTCGCTTCACAAGATATTAACTGATGGACTGGAGTCATTTGGATTGTTACCTTTTTTTTTTTTTTTAACTGTTTGAACTCTCATTCTGACGGCACCCATTCACTGCATAGGATTGATTGGTGTGTAAGTTTTGTAATGCTAAGTTTCTTCAGATCCGTTCCAATGAAGAAACAAATGCATATACATCTTGGATGGTCTGAGGGGTGAGTAAATTTTCAGCGAGTTTTCTTTTTTGGCTGAACTATTCCCTTAAACAACATTGTGAATATTCCTGTGCTTCTAAGTGTACATTAAGTTTTCTAAGAGCATGTCATTATTAGAGCCCGACCGATATATCGTTTTGCCGATATTATCGGCTGATATGAGCCTGTCGCCGATATATCGGTATCGGTGAATATGCCGCCGATATGAACATTTTTTTTACAGAACATATAACGCAGATAAAATGCTTGAAAGGGTGTAATTATTTAGTTTGTCCAGCAGAGCGCGCTCCATTGTTTGCTACTGGCGACTGGGATGAAACGATTTAAAGCTTAGTCTATGGAAAACCATTGAAACTTTGAATGGTCATATCTCCGTAACGGCTCGGGGGATCCCTTCAGCTCGAGGAACCCTCTCGAACGCGAATCGAGTGTACGTCTAGAGGCCCGCTTTCGAATGAGACCACCCCCGCGTCGATAGCCCCCGGGGTTCGGGAGTTACGGGTGGTTAAATTCGCGGTCCGGCGCCAACCGATCAAGCGATCCTGGGGGGCTACCGACGCACGGAGGGTGGCGTTCGAGAGGGCTCCTCGAGCTGAAGGGATCCCCCGAATTTGGTACCAAACTTTTGACTGGTACTGTACTATAATATACACACAGAATATCGGCCGATATATCGATATCTGCCTTTTTTTACTCCCTAATATCGGTATCGGTATTGGCCCCAAAAACCCATATCGGTCGGGCTCTAGTCATTATACTACCATTGTGATAATTCCTTGTTTTGTGACCGAGTATGAAAGCACTAACACATTACAGCGTATAATAACATATATAATTTATACTTAAGTAGCAAAAACAGGTTTGAGTTGGTAAGTGTAGTTCAAACTTGACTGATTCACAACTGATTCAGTGGTCTGATTTAAAGCGCATTAAAAGTTAAATAGAAACATATTGGTAAATGTTGTTAGTAATGTATGTATTATGAGTAAAGTATTGTTAGTTGGTATAAATATGAATAATATAATAGTGTGTAATATTTTTGGTGCTCATTTCATGAAAAATTGTGTGAGAAACATGTAATTACTAGGTGAACTAAATTTGAACCTTTTGCATCAATTATTTTGAATCACTTTTGCCAAAATTATAGCTCCTCTGATTGGAAAAAAACATAACTGTTGACAATAGGCAAAATAAAATACTGTTTTCTGTATTGCTCAACCTTTGCTCTCATTAAACAATGTGTGTTTGTATCTGTCAGGCTATGATGACTATCTGGATGATGATGATCTGGACCTCATCGAGGAGAATTTAGGAGTGAAAGTGAAGAGAAGGGTGAGTCACCGAACTTCTTGCCTGTGCTAAATTGCAGAATTTTAATTAATTTAACTGATACCAGTTAAATACTTAAGTTCAGTTTTGAACTAATGAAAAAAAATTGTTCAGAAAAAGAAGTACTCGCGTGTGAAAACCATGGATGATGAGGGGGAAGATGATGAGAAAGACCTGATCGCTGATGAGATCTTCACTGGGGATGGTGATGGAGATGGAGAGGTGGAGGATGGAGAGACTGTAGACACACTTCACCCTAGAGATGACGAAGAGGAGGAAGATGATGAGGAATCTGGTAGGAAAGACGTTTACCCTATTCATCGTGGATTTGAATTTGGATACTAGAATTCTGTAGAATTTTGTTGATTTTTTTTTTTTCTTGAATCTTTGCAGATATTGATGATTTCATTGTGGATGATGATGGACAGCCCATCACGAAAAAGAAAGGAAAGAAATTCTCTGGCTACACTGATGCGTAAGTGGTGTAAACTGTAAACAGAGGTTTGCTTATATAAATATGCACTTCTCTCTGTAGTATAATGGACTAAATCCCTGATTGAAATGGCCTTCGACCCTATGACTTTGTCTCTAATGTTGCTCCTTTTTTGGCATTCTAGTGCTTTGCAAGAAGCTCAAGAGATATTCGGCGGTGATTTTGACTTTGCCGAGTTTGACACTGAGGCGTATGATCATGCAGAAGAGGAAGAGGAGGATCAGGATGATGAGTCATGGGATCGGCCAAAGAAGCAGACCAAGAGAAGAGTTGGCCGTCGTAGCATATTTGAGATCTATGAGCCCAGTGAGCTGGAGAGCAGCCACATGACCGATCAAGACAATGAGATCCGCTCCACAGACATGCCAGAAAGATTCCAGGTATAAATCAGTGTTAGCCTGCCTATATACCTTTCATTTGCAGTATGCCGTCCCATGTGAAGGATATCAGAAACTTCTGCATGCCCTGTACCAGTGTGTTTCCTTTCATGGGTGGAAATGAGGATATTTCATAACCTCTTGTCATTTGCAGTTGAGGGCCATCCCTGTAAAGCCTGCAATATTTGTATAACATGACTTTTGTTAGCATGTTGTCATGGCACTAAGCTAACTTTGATTCTTATTTTGTTTGATTTGCATTGCAGGAGAGCACAGACTACCTGGATCGTGGGACAACCACTAATTTCAGCAGAAAGGGCCCCAGTACTATTGCTAAAATCAAAGAAGCTCTGAACTTCATGAGGAACCAACACTTTGAGGTATAGTCATGGGGGGAAAAAAACAGGGTGTAATAAACCTGATTGACAGATCATCTGGTTTTATCTCTTCTCTCTTCCATCTTACAGGTTCCCTTCATTGCATTCTACAGGAAGGAGTATGTGGAACCAGAGCTGAACATTAATGATCTGTGGAAGGTGTGGCAGTGGGATGAGAAGGTAAGGGCTAGTCAAAATGTTCTCGTTCCTGTATCCTCAGATGGCCAAGGAACTGAAAAACAAGCTTGTCGCTGAAGCCAAGGACAATATTATTAAGGTGACACATTGATTGCATGCATTACATTACCTTCGAAAGCTAACAAAGCAATTTCTGTACCAAACTGTGGTCTATAACAAATTGATTTGTGTTTGTTGTGTCTGTGGTAGTCTTGCTGCAAGAAGCTGTATAACTGTTTGAAGGTGGCTTCTTATCGGCCTGATCAGCAGGTAGAGGAGGACGATGACCTTATGGATGAGTCGCAAGGAAAGGGTATCCGTGTACTCGGGGTGGCATTTGCTTCCGGCAGGTACATATGTGTTCAGAGTGAGAGAATATTTCACATTATTTTAGAAAGAGATGCACTATTTCAAGGGTGTCAAACTCGGTTCCTGTATGGCCACAACCCTTCAGAGTTCACGTTTAACCCTAAATAAACACACCTGATCTAGCTAATCAAGTCCTTCAAGTTTATTTGAAAACTACATGGTATGTGTGTTGGAGCAGGGTTGGAACTAAACTCTGCAGGGTTGCGGCTCTCCAGGAATTGAGTTTGACACCCCTGCACTATACAAACTAACATTATTGGATATTTAATTTATATTTAGGTAATTTAATGCTCACTTTAAGTGAATCTCAATTTTATTATGAAATATGTAACATTATATATTATTGGCCATAACATCACTATAATTATCAGCTTATCAGTGTCAACAAGGATATATATTTTTTTATCAGAACTTTCATACTTTTGAATGGTATCTGATGTGTTTTTTTTATAGAGATACACCAGTGTTCTGCTCCCTCATTAATGGTGAAGGAGAGGTTGTGGACTTCCTCAGGCTTCCTTACTTCCTGAAGAGGAGAAATGCATGGAGAGAGGATGAAAGAGAGAAAAAGGTGAAGAAACAGAAGCCCTGCAAATCATTTAATGTTCAGCTATTTAATTCCAATTGACGTCAATATTGTGTTTTTTTTTTTTTAAATGTTTGTTGCGTTTCCATAGCTTCAAGATATTGAAAACCTCAAGAAATTCCTCCTTAGTAAGAAGCCACATGTTGTTGCTGTTGCTGGGGAGAATCGGTGTGTTCATTATTGCGCTTTTTGATTTAAAAACTGCTGTTTGCAAGTTTTAAACTTTCATTGGACCCCAGCATGCTGATGCTTTATTTGGATGTGTGTAGTGATGCTCATATGGTGATGGAGGACATCAAGCGCACCATCAGTGAGCTGGAGCAGGACTCCTCTCTGCCTGCGGTGGGGGTGGAGCTGGTGGACAACGAGCTGGCTGTGCTTTATATGAATGGCAAGAAGTCTGAGGTTCGTGCAATGAGATAAAAACATAAAATTTACCCATAAACCCTTGTTGAAGGCTCTGTACTTTTAATACCTTTTCTAATGTTTCTTTAATATACTGCTCCTCTCATAGGCGGACTTCAGAGACTATCCACCTCTGCTTCGGCAGGCTGTGTCTGTGGCTCGCAAGATTCAGGACCCCCTAGTGGAGTTTGCCCAAGTCTGTAGCAGCGATGAGGACATCCTGTGTTTGAAACTGCATCCCCTGCAGGTACAAGCACATTCCTGCATCTCATGACCTTCTTTTTGCTATTTTCGTTTTAATACCTTTTGATTTGCTCCATGTATTTGTGAAAATCTGCCTTGCAATGTCTGTCAGTGTTATTTTAGTATAATTTTTTATTGCCATTATAGTATCTATTCATATTTTTAAAAAAATGTTGTTTAACTTTTGACTTTTTTTCATTTGTTTTAAATTGACTTATTTTAGTACTTCAGTAACTTATTTCAGTTAGTTGTCTTATTTCATTTACGGAACCCAATTTTTAATTGTAGTTAACCGTAACAATACTGACTTCTGTCCACTTTGGTATGTTTTTTCGAACAGGCTTGACATTAAGGTCAACTTGTGAATCACTTCTCCTGTATAATCTTTTTAAATGTTCCTCAGGAGCATGTAGTGAAAGAGGAGCTGCTGGGCGCTCTTTACTGTGAGTTCATAAACCGGGTGAATGAGGTTGGTGTGGATGTGAACCGGGCCATAGCTCACCCTTACACCCAGAGCCTGGTCCAGTACGTCTGTGGCCTTGGACCTAGAAAAGGCTCACAACTGCTCAAGGTGAGACCTTTTTCTCCAAAAATCTATTATCATATTTGATGTTCATGCTGTTTTTCCACCTAAACAATTTACGATGTTAGTCTAGCTAAGTGTTGAGAAGTTTCAATGATGTTGATCTAAAACGATATCATGAAATATTGAAATCATCTTCTGCATCTTTTCGATGTTCTTCAGATTCTTAAACAGAACAACACTAGGTTGGAGAACCGGACCCAGTTGGTCACCATGTGCCATATGGGACCCAAAGTCTTCATTAACTGTGCTGGCTTCATCAAGATTGACACTGCCTCTCTTGGAGACAGGTAAGATGCTACACGTAATGTTTGTGAATGACCGGTAGTGCACTCTGAATTATGCTGCATACAGCCAGAAGATGTGATGAAATAATGTCTTCTTTCATTCTGCAGCACTGACTCCTATATCGAGGTCCTGGACGGTTCTCGAGTGCACCCTGAAACGTACGAGTGGGCACGTAAAATGGCAGTGGATGCTCTAGAGTACGACGAGTCGGCAGAAGATGCCAACCCAGCCGGAGCACTAGAGGAGATTCTTGAGAACCCAGAGAGGCTGAAGGACCTGGATCTGGATGCCTTCGCTGAGGAGCTGGAGAGACAGGTGAGCTTTGTTATAATGTTGTATAGTTCACTTGTGTATATTTTGTTAGCAGAGGCATTTATCCCAAGCGGCATATGAGGTCGTAAGCGGTACTTGACTTAACTAAACAGTTATTTATTGTTATTTATTGTTTCTTTCTTTCAGGGTTATGGTAATAAGGGAATTACGCTGTATGACATTCGAGCGGAGCTTAGCTGTAGATATAAAGATTTGAGAGCTCCGTACAGGCCTTCCAACACGGAGGAGGTCTTTAACATGCTCACCAAGGAGACACCTGAGACCTTCTATATAGGTAAATACTACCTGAGCATGTTTAGATATTTTAAAAACATCACAGAGTAATCTACAGGTACATCTAAAAAAATTTGAATATCATGAAAAAGGTCAATATTTTTTGTCACTCATTTCAGAAAGTGAAACCCATATATTATATAGATTCATTACACAGAGTGAAATATTTCAAGCCTTTATTTCTTATTTTTTTAGATGTACCTGTATAGTTATAAACCTACAGAATTACATACTTTAAAGTATTCTGTGATATTTGTGCTGCTCCTTCATATGTTTCAGTCTTGACACTGTTGGTAATATTTTCCTAAATCTCTGTGCACATATAGGTAAACTGATCACTTGTGTGGTGACTGGCATTGCTCACAGAAGGCCACAAGGTGAGAGTTACGACCAGGCCATCCGTAATGATGAGACCGGACTCTGGCAGTGTCCATTTTGCCAGCAGGACAACTTCCCTGAGCTCAGTGAGGTGGGAATTGGTTCTGTTACCTTTCCAAGGAATTAAATTTTAGCTTAGGCACATAAGCAAAGTTGCTCATATCATTGTGTTTTTCTTAGGTGTGGAATCACTTTGACAGCGGCTCCTGCCCTGGTCAAGCCATCGGAGTGAGAACTAGGTTAGATAACGCTGTCACAGGCTTCATCCCGACAAAGTTTCTTAGTGACAAGGTGGTGAAGCACCCCGAGGAGAGAGTCAAGGTGAGCAAATCTCATATTTCCTTTTTATAATCTATCTGGTGTATGTTTATAAACAATACACACCATAAATATGTAGCCTTAAAATAGATATGGAAGTCTGAGAATCTCTTGTGGACACACTGACTTTTGTCTGGTTCTCTGCTGTTAGGTTGGCATGACTGTGCACTGCCGCATCATGAAGGTTGACATTGAGAAGTTCAACGTGGATCTCACTTGTAGAACATCTGACCTGAGTGACAAGAACAACGAATGGAAGCTTCCCAAAGATACCTACTATGATTTTGATGCTGAGGCAGATGATGTGAAACAGGAAGAGGAGCAAAAGAAGAAACAGCAGAGAACCAGTCAGTATTGACCAAATGTCTTTGAGAGACATTTATTTTCAAGTGATGACTTTTTCACTGAAGTATTATGGTTTTTGTTTTCTGTCTTTAGCTTACATTAAGCGCGTGATCGCTCACCCGTCCTTCCACAACATCAACTTCAAACAAGCGGAGAAGATGATGGAATCCATGGACCAGGGTGATGTGGTGATTCGACCCAGCAGTAAAGGGGAGAACCACCTGACGGTCACATGGAAGGTGGCTGATGGGATATATCAGCATGTGGATGTGCGTGAGGAGGGTAAAGAGAATGCGTTCAGCCTTGGACATACTCTTTGGATCAACACTGAGGTGAGCTGTTGCTGTATGTCGCACATAAACTATTGCTTAAAAGTTTGAGGTCTGAGATATATTATTTTTTAATGTTTTTGAAAGAAGCCTCTTATGCTCACCAAGGCTGCAATTATTTAAAATGTTAATATAGAGAAATATTGTTACAGTTATTTAAATAACTTTTTGTTATTATTTTTAAAAATACAATTTATTCCTGTGATGGAAAGCTGAATTTTCAGCAGCCATTACTCTGGTCTTCAATGCCGCATGACTATTTAGAAATAATTAGAATGTGCTAGTTTGGTGCTTAAGGAATGGAGCATTTCTTATTGTTGAAAAAATTTGTGCTGCATAATATTTTTTTGGACCATGATGTTGTTTTTGCATGATTCTTTGATGAATAGAAAGTTAAAAACACAGGATTTTTTAAAATAGAAATCTAACGGTAGTCGTGGTTGCCTGCAGGAGTTTGAGGATCTGGATGAAATCACAGCCAGGTATGTCCAGCCTATGGCTGCATTTGCACGAGATCTGCTCGGCCACAAGTACTTCCAGGAGTGCAATGGAGGTGATAGGAAGGTGTGTTATCATTCTGAGAACCCACACTTTTCCTTTGACTATTTAGAAATAATTAGAATGTGCTAATTTGGTGCTTAAGGAATGGAGCATTTCTTATTGTTGAAAAAATTTGTGCTGCATAATATTTTTTTGGACCATGATGTTGTTTTTTCATGATTCTTTGATGAATAGAAAGTTAAAAACACAGGATTTTTTAAAATAGAAATCTAACGGTAGTCGTGGTTGCCTGCAGGAGTTTGAGGATCTGGATGAAATCACAGCCAGGTATGTCCAGCCTATGGCTGCATTTGCACGAGATCTGCTCGGCCACAAGTACTTCCAGGAGTGCAATGGAGGTGATAGGAAGGTGTGTTATCATTCTGAGAACCCACACTTTTCCTTTTCTCTTTATCTTGATTTCAATTTTTTATATATATAGATAATATATATAGATATATAGATAAAATGTCCCCTACAATTTGTACAGTTGTGCATTCATCCTTTCTTGCCTTTGTACAGAAAATGGAGGAGATTCTCATAAGGTCCAAAAAAGAGAAGCCGACATTCATCCCCTACTTCATTTCAGCTTGTAGAGACCTGCCAGGCAAATTTATTCTGGGTTACCAGCCTAGAGGGAAGCCAAGGTAACACTCATTACCCTAACAAAGCAGGGCACAACTTGCATATATCATGCATCCGTAAATGTTTGCCTTTGTTTTTTTTTTTGTTTTTTTTGTAGGATAGAGTATGTAACCATCACTCCAGATGGCTTTAGGTATCGCTCTCAGATATTCCCTACAGTCAATGGTCTCTTCCGCTGGTTCAAGGACCACTACCAGGATCCTGTGCCAGGTTAGTAGTCTCCATCTGCACTCCAGCTCTGGCCTAGCATTGTTATTTTTCCTTGTAATGTAATGTTTCTGTTGTCTCTCTAAAGGCGTCACACCAACCAGCAGCAGAACGAGAACACCAGCATCAGTGAACGCCACACCTGCCAACATCAACATTGCCGGTATGTCTTCCCTGAAAACAACAGGAATTTTCTCAAGTAATTCTTCTCAGAAATGTTTTGTAAAATCTGTCCCCTCGCTCTCAGACTTGACTCGAGCCGTCAACGCTCTCCCACGAAACATGACATCCCAGATGTTCAACGCCATAGCGGCGGTTACAGGCCAGGGCCAGAATCCCAACACAACGCCGGCCCAGTGGGCCTCCAGTCAGTATGGTTACAGTGGCGGCAGCAGTGCAGGAGGCGGCGGCAGCAGCAGCGCTTATCACGTAAGAAACCTGCACCTATGCACTCAGTAACCTATTCAACTAATTGAATCAAAACCAGGCCTGCTAATATTTCATATTCCTTCCTTTCTTGTTTTTTTTTCAAGGTGTTTGCAACACCCCAGCAGCCAATGGCCACTCCCATGATGACGCCCAGCTACTCTTACACCACACCTGGCCAGCAGCAGGCCATGACCACGCCCCAGTATCCCAGCAGCACCCCGCAGTCCTCACACGGACACCATCAGCATTCGTCCTCCACGCCATCATCCTCATCATCAAGAGTGCGGACGCCACAGCCCAAGTGAGTGCTACTACTGCTTTCTTGAAAATGCAAAACCATGTTTACCGTGTCACACCAAAAATTCAGTGCGATAAGCATTTTAATTTGAATGAATGGTTGTTGATGCATCTGTTCAGACCTGCACGATTGTTCACGTTAGTGCAAAATGACTTTTTACCAAACACTCTTTTCCATCACACTGCAAAAAAAGGTGGCTGCTGTTACATAAAACTATGAATTTGTGGCACTCACGAACAGACTGTTTTGCTAAATGACAGTGAATAGCCTGTTCAAGTTGAAATTGGTCACACAAATTCACTGTGCTGACCAACCTGTTTTCTGTGAGAGCTGTGGTTATATCGCTACACAATGGATGGTGAACCTTTTTTGCCCACAGTAATATAGCTAATGCGACTGCATCTTTAGTCGTGTTTTTTTTTTTGTGTGTGGCATCTATTATTATGACTTCTATATTGGCTTCTGTGCTTGGTACATTATCCATCACAGAATAAAGTACTAAAACTCTTGTCTGTGTTCCCTGCAGGACAAGTTCCCACACTGCTGTGGATTGGGGTAAAATGGCTGAACAGTGGCTGCAGGAGAAAGAAGCTGAACGGCGGAAGCAAAAGACGCCCCGCGTGACGCCCCGACCTTCCCCCAGCCCCATGATCGAGAGCACACCCATGTCCATCGCCGGAGACGCCACTCCCCTCTTGGACGAGATGGACCGATAGGAGTAGGGAAGGGGGGTGTTCAGACATCTCATAAAACCCAATCCATCCACATCCCATCTGTCACCCTCCGTCTTTTGCTCTTTCGCTGCTAGAAGTATTCCTTTGAGTCATTCAGAGCTCATGATACAAAGACAAACACTTGAAATGTGTTGATGACAAACAAATTTAGGAAATGGACCTACAATAAACGTTTGTCACTAGGGTTTTCCTTTTTTTTTTTTTTTTTTTTTTTTTTTTTTTTTTTTTTTTATTTTTTATGGCCCCGCGTGACGCCCCGACCTTCCCCCAGCCCCATGATCGAGAGCACACCCATGTCCATCGCCGGAGACGCCACTCCCCTCTTGGACGAGATGGACCGATAGGAGTAGGGAAGGGGGGTGTTCAGACATCTCATAAAACCCAATCCATCCACATCCCATCTGTCACCCTCCGTCTTTTGCTCTTTCGCTGCTAGAAGTATTCCTTTGAGTCATTCAGAGCTCATGATACAAAGACAAACACTTGAAATGTGTTGATGACAAACAAATTTAGGAAATGGACCTACAATAAACGTTTGTCACGAGGGTTTTCGTTTTCTTTTTCTTTTTTTTTAGTATGTGCATAATGCACCCCCTTTTTCATTTCAGTTTTTTAACTAAATTTAAAAGGAAAGGCTTAAAGCATGAGACGTTGCATGATTTGTGCCCATGGGAGCTGGTATTCAATCACCGTAAGATCATTAGTTCAGACCCACTCAGAGAGCTTTTCTTTCTTGTATCTGGCTTAAACATTTAAATAAAACCCTGTTTCAGTATGAACCAGAGCACTGTAATGATTCATAATCTGTGTTCTGTTGAGCTGTTACGCAAAGAGTTAAGCACTGTGGAGATGTGTAAAGCTATTTTGCAATTCTTTTAGCAGCTAAAAAATTAAGTATGTGACTTTGAAAGAGATCCTGTAAATGTCATGTTTTTGGGGCCATTACAGTGATCAGAACATATGCATTTTAAATTCAGAACTGATGAAAAATTATGTTTTTAAGGTCATCTTTGAGTTTTCCAAGTTCAGAATCAGATATCACTTCTCATAATGTGCTTATACAAGTAAACTGAACTATTGTGCTAGAAGATAGAGTCCTCTGATCAGTTTTTTGCTTTTTTAGTTTGGGGGCTGTTTGTGTTTGTGAATGTGTCTTTGCTGGGCCAGACTTCCTCAAGGCGTTGCCACACATGCTGTTTTTTAACAGTGTCTTTCCTTCATGTACAATCCCATGTATCACTATAGACAGAAATTGTGACATTTAAGCAAAATGAACTTTATGAACAAGCTCCTTATACTGTGACAATATTTTCACACACCAAACATGGTTATGATTCCCCCACACCGCCCACCCAGTATAGTGAATCTTCCAAGTTCTGGGAAGTGTTTCTGACCTGATCATGTGTTCTTTTAGTACTGAGGCTAAACTATGCCTTTAGGTCAGGAAGTGAGCTCCGTGTCTAAATCTTTCTGTTCAGTGTATTTCACTGCTGGCATCCATTTCATTTCTTTCCTTTGATAAAGTTGTCAAAATTAAACACTTCTGATTCAAGTGTTTTTATTTGCTTTAAACATCTGTTCCTTAACAGTCTATACTGATTTCAGTTAGTAAAGAGTGTTTGTCTTCAAGCTTCAGATAATTAATTTCAGACAGCTGTGATTTTAAAATGCAACTAAAGAGACTATGAAGTTTTCCATGTGACTTTCGTTTGGCGTCGACAAATAGCTTCCACGAACTGTCAAATGTAAGGCACAGCTACAAGTGGACAAAAATACCAACAATTGACATTTTTGGGGATTTTATCCTTTATTCTCTCATGAAGACTTGAGGGGACATTTCAGTACAGAATATAATGGTTTTTCAAGTGGGCTGTTTGTTGAGCTGCTAATTTTTGCTTCACAATTTTCGTTTGAGTGATACTTCTCTATTTCCGTCTTAACAATCCTTCCATTTAGCTCAGAGTGTCGGCGCAGTCGGCAGCAGAGCCTGTGGTCACGAGTGCTGGCATATGTATCATATTAGCCAGAGAATCTCATGATGCAACTAAAAACAAGGGCTGCATTTACAAAATATCCACTCAGAACCGCCAGGAGGGCATTTAATGTGACCTCTTAAGTATTCTGCACATAAGCACTGCTGTTTGCTAGGAAAAAGCAAATGTAAAGGCAGAAGTCATTACCACCAAATGACAGGGATTTGCATCGCTTTATGTAATAGACCTGAGATGCCAGTAAATGACACCAAGTATTTATAGATAGATTTACAGATTTAAATCTTCATAAGACACTGCTTGGAACAAAAATTAACACGTTTTTGGACAAAACCACTCACTTGTTCCTGGTTATTTGATAGTCTATGACAAACTCAATTACTGTGTATCCACATAATAATCATGTAATACAATCATGATACAGAAAAATGCTTTCAAATTCATAACTAAAAAACACATGAAATATATAATGGATTCATTGGTACACTTCTGATTACAATCCAAACTTCACTTTCAGATGAATTCTTGTTGAGATTCCCTCATCTCACTGGCCAAGTCCTCTGTGTGTATTATTTTTTTCTTCAACTCAAAGATGTGCATCAGAGCATTATGGGACATCATCCCAAAGTCTGTGTTCAAGGATCACTTCTATTGCCATTTGAACGTTACATACTTTTAGTCAACGACAGCAGCTGGATTGCCTCTTCTTAAAAATGTCATCACAATTGTTAGAGATATCTGTGAAGAAAAGATGCATATATTTTTTTCTGTATGGCCATGGTGAAATATTTTCAGGGTAAAACATGGAAATAAAATGTTTATAATTAGCTATATTTTGATGTAATGAAAGAGAACTTACTGACAATATCACTAGCTTGTCTAGAATTGTTCCTCTCCAGCTCAGATAACACAGTCGCCTCAAATGTAAGTGATGCAACCCGTAGGAAAAAATCTCTCACACTTTCCCCTGTAAAGGACACCAGAAATAATACATAATATTTCATGTCATATGTTACTTACACAACCAGTAAAAAGTTCAGAATCATTCAGATTTTTTAATGTGTCTGAAAGAAGTATCTTGTGCTTTACCAAGGCTTATTTATTTGATCAAATATACAATAAAAACATTAATAATGTAAAATGCTATTAAAATTTAAAATAACTTTTCTATTAGAATATATTATAAATTGTAATTTATTCCTGGGAATTGTCAGCAGCCTTTACTCCAGTCTTCAGTGTCACATGATCCTTCGGAAATCATTCTGAATTGGTGGTCAATTATTAATAATGGTTCTTAATATTATCAATGTTCAAAACAGTTTTTGCTTAAAGTTCAAAAGAACATATATTTGAAATTGAAATATTTTGTATCATTGTAAATGTCTTTACTGATACTTTTGATCAATTTAATGCATCCTTGCTGAATAAAAGTTAATTTCTTTTTTAAAATCTTTCTTACCCCAAACTTTTGAATAGTTATTTCAATATTTCACAATAATGCAGTTTTTACTGTATTTTTATTAGCCTTTCTAAGCCTTGTAAGAATTTATGTATTTTATGCATACATTTTATGTATGAAACTACATCTAGATATTATTTTGAACTGCTTTTGACCTCACGTATTTCTGACATCAGCTAAGACAAACAAACTAGTTTAATTGCAAACAAAACACCTGTGGTTAAAGTCTTTAAAACAGACATGTTCCTCTACCTGACAGAGCAGACACGGCCCAATACTCTGCTCTGATCTCCTCTGAGATTTGAACGGCTTCTTGCTCCATTTGAGCCAACTGATCTGGGTGCTATGGGAGAGAAAGATTCATCTAGTTACCTCAAGGAAACTCCATCTTGGGATTGTCAATGTAATTTCATGCATCCGTATCCTTTTTTCTTTATGAAAAAGTTAATGCGACCCTTCTGTGCCAACATCATGTGAAAGTCACAGTGTGGCGATGGATTTTTAAAGGCTTTGAAGAGATACACTGACAATAACTCACACTAAGATCCTTTTTGGTTCCCACGAGGAAGAGGAGAACACTAGATGGGTCATTGTCTCTCATGGCATCTTCAAGCCACTCTCTGAATAAACAGAGACAAGTGGGAGAAAACAGACAGGATTCATGGCTATTCAGACAGTGTTTCAAACCAAGTAAGTGATCATACTGTACCTTGCATGATCCAAAGAGTTATAATTGCTCAGGTCAAAGACAACAATGATGGCTGGAAACAAAAGATAGATTGTTTTTACACAATTTTACAAATTAAAAGTAAGAATATGCTTAGTATAGTCTGTTTTATTACCTTGAGCTCCTCTGTAGTATGTGGATGCAATGCATCGGAATCTTTCCTGACCTGCTGTGTCCCACCTGCAGAGAGAGAGAGAGAGATTCGTGATCGAAGGATGCAACCATATGGATGACTGTTAAAGCAATAAAATACACAAAACTCACAACTGCAAACTGAAGGGCACTCCGAGGACCTCAAATCTCTCCATCTCAAAATCCACTCCAATAGTTGCTTTGTATGTCTTGTCAAATGTGTCTTTGCAGAATCTTGACGACAGAAATAATAACAAATGCAGTCACTCACGCATTTATACATTTATATGTTAATTGTTTTTTATTTTTCAGTAAAAGCACAATGAGATCTGAACTGAGAAAAGGTAAATTAACATGAGAGACTTTTACCTGTTTATTAAACAGGTCTTTCCAACTCCTACATCACCGACAACAATGACCTTGGCTACATTCAATCTGGAAATGAACATTTACAATAAAATAATGTTCATTCATAGTGCATTACACATCTGTATTATATCCAGTCAAAACCACTCTGGGTTTGTTTATGAAGTTTTGTCTGCATTTTGGGGACCAGCAACCCCCCACTACAACAGCAAAACAAATGTTTGTATGTGAAAGAGAGAAAAAGAGTAACTTACCCTGTTTTCTGTCCTTGACATGCATCTTTAACGGTAATGTTGAAGCCATCTTTGGTGTGCACTGCAGCGTCCCTTGTAAAGTACTGAATAATAGACCAATAGAAATTTGTTAGGTTAGACTTTAAAAAATGACAACAAGACAAAACAAAGAAAAAACACCAAAACACCCTTTACATAATAATCTTGTCCAGCTGAGTCCGGTTTATAACACTCACTGGGTGATTGAAAACAATAATCCTCTAAAATTAATGTGTTTTGAGCAACTAAACAGCTAGGGAGTAGACAAAATTAATATCTAACTAAAAATACAAAAGTGTTACCAAAGGGAGTTCACAGATGATCCTGTTTCCTTTCACAGGGGGTAGAGAGTTCATCATGTGAGAGCTTTAACAAGACCACACCAAAACAACTGCAAACACTCAACCATTCTGTCCGGTGACTAGTGGGTTTAATAAACATTATAATAACAACAACAACGATAATATATTAAAATAAAAAACAGTAAATAACATTAATGACCAAATAACATGCTGCTGTATAATATAAAATAAAATTTGATGTCAAAACGCCAATATTAAAAAAGCTATACAAATGTATATTTAAGGAATAAATAAATACAACTTACCTTAAAAGTCAGAAGGCTTTTTTTTACATTCTACAAGTAGCCTATTTTAGACTTGACAGTAACTTTATTTAGTCGACACATTTTTGTTGTTGAGGCAAATATTATAGTAGGCTCTTAGGTTCTTTTGTGACAAATGCATGAAATAATACAAAGTAATCGTTTAAAAGTAACTTTTTGCTTTCACTGCGTGACTGTGCTCAACATAAGCCCCGGTCTCCTGTGGCTGCGCTCGATATTTACAGTACGCGAGTGAACTACAAAACCCATAATGCCTAGTGATGTTCTCGCGATGACTGCGTGTTTTTATACAGTCAATGGCGTTAACGTGAACCCCTGAGCATCGAATAATTATTTAAGTAGGAATATTTGTGTATATACGTGTGTAAGAACAGGAAAAGCAAAAACAAGGAAGAAATTTATAATAAATAAACCATGACTGCATTACAGCAAAAGTAGGTGGCGATATGCACACAGGATGTAACACGCCAAAAAATGGAAGAAGAAGAACGTGAACCCCTGCGATATACTGAAGGAAACCCGTCTCGTTCTTCCTTTCCCAACATGGCCCCGAAGGCGAAGGAAGGTGCGCTAGGTTTATAGATTTTATTGTATATAAATTAAGTTTATTGTGATTTTATACAGTTGCGTTTTCCCTTAAATGTAGCTGATATAGGTATGTTTGTCTCTAGCTGTTTAATTAGGCGTCTGGAGTGAAATAACATCGTTTTGATGCAAGAAGTGCCGGAGTGAGACGTCCTTGGTCACAACCGCGGCTAGCAAGCTAACATAATTGAGCAGCATGCTCTCGCAGCCTCATTATATCAGACTGTCCGAGTGTTAAACCCTTTAGCCAGTTGTCATAAACTGGTTGTTTACGTTCTACTTGGATTGTACAGAGTACAATATAAGTAAATGACAGCTTGTCATCGTTAGATAGTCACACACGTGGCTACCCATATCTATCTCTCATTAATTACCAGTCAGTTTAGTTAATAGGAGTCTTTAAATCAGCCCCGAGAACAATATTGTTTTGAAATGTTAACACATTTTTGTGCATTTTATAGCTGCTGCCTGAATGTAAACACGGTAATACCCATTTACAAATGATGTGCCTTTGAAAGTCTCGCAAGTTTTATTGTAACGCAATTAAATGCTTATAAGGGACGTAAAAACGCAGGTTGGACAACTTTGTACTCGTTCATTGTATGCCATATAGACTGGTTTGTTAATATTGCATTATCATAATTGTTTAAATGTTTCTACAGCTGTCCCGGCTAAGACTGAGGCCAAGTCGAAGGCCCTTAAAGCCAAGAAGGCTGTGCTGAAGGGTGTCCACAGCCAGAGGAAGAAGAAGATCAGGACTACCCCAACCTTCCACCGGCCCAAGACCCTGCGTCTGAGGAGGCAGCCTAAGTACCCTAGGAAGAGCGCTCCACGCAGAAACAAGTGAGTCTTACTCTTTTGTACTCTCTCTAAAATAAAGAGTGCATTTGTTTCTATTATGGTTTACACATTTCAGGTAGTCTTGAAATTGGGCATTTTCATTTTAGGATGCAAATGATGGGAATTGCGATCAAAGTATGAAATGATCTGATTACAATTTTTTTAAACACTGATGCATCCTCATTTCAGCATTGAGATGTAGTTGAAACTAAAGCATAAATAAAATGCTTCGAACTTGCATGAGTTTAAAATGGACATGTTCTCGCAGGCTGGACCATTATGCCATCATCAAGTTCCCCCTGACCACTGAGTCAGCCATGAAGAAGATTGAGGACAACAACACTCTGGTGTTCATTGTTGATGTCAAGGCTAACAAGCATCAGATTAAACACGCTGTCAAGAAACTGTACGACATCGATGTGGCTAAAGTCAACACACTGATCAGGTAGAACTTTGTTTATTCAAGTCTTTTAAAGCAGTGGTTCTCTAAAAAAAAAAAAATTATTATATTATTAATATATTAAAAACAAAATCGAATGCTAAAATGCGATCAAGATGTAAACAAGTGTATCTCTTATATAGTATTATAAACAAATAATTGTAAAATAAAAATTCTCTCTAAATCATTTTTTTATTTAAGTTTAACACAATTTCTCCATGTTTGTGTTAATAAAGTTTGAAAAGTAGCTTTATTGATTTCAACAGAAAGCTCTGGGGAGCTTTCAGATATTGTTGAATAACGGGGGTAATGATGTAAAAATAATAATTATTCTAAAATGTAATGTTCTCAGAGGAACCACTGATTCAGAGGAAAGGCATTGTCAGATTTGTGATGCATTTTGAATGCTTTATTTATTGCTCTCTGCAGGCCAGATGGTGAAAAGAAGGCATACGTTCGTCTTGCACCAGATTACGATGCCTTGGATGTTGCAAACAAGGTAAATTAGTGAATGTAAATGTTCGTACATGTATCAAACAATAGGTGTTGTCGATTTCATGTAGCTAGATTAAAAGCTGAGGGAATGGTCAACCTCTGCAAATGTAAACTTAAGTTACTTCCTGAATGTTACTGTGATGCATTCAGAAGAACCACTGATGCTTTGTATTGTCTTTCTTTCTTCAAAACATTTGTGCTTTGACCTGTTCTGATTGTCATCTTTTTTCTTGCAGATTGGCATCATCTAAAGTGCTTTTGGTCAGATGTACAGAAGAATAAATGTTTGTAAAAACTATTTTTGTTTTTGTGGCTTTATTTGTTTACATTTCTGGAATTTCAAGGTTTGAGAATAGGTTTGGTTAAAGGGGTCATATGACGTTGCTAAAAAGAACATTATGTTGTGTATTTGGTGTAATGCAATGTGTTTATGCGGTTTAAGGTAAAAAAAAACACATTATTTTCCACAATGTACATTATTGTTGATCCTCTATGCCCCGCCTTTCTGAGACGCGTCGATTTTTACAAAGCTCATCGGTCTGAAAAAGCAATGTGTGCTCTGATTGGCCAGCTATCCAGTGCGTTGTGATTGGCCGAATTCCTCAAGCGTGTGACGGAAA